TTTTTTTTTTTAGCATTTTATCTCCAATAATTTGTTTACACCCTGAACAGTACAGAACATTAGAAACCTGCAAACGTAAAATAAATAAATAAATAAATAAAGTACATTGTCATTATTTATTTAGATATTTGACAAATTTTATTTCTAACAATAAATTAAAATAACAAACGTGTGTATTTTTGTGTTAGTCAAATTTCACCATTATGCTTGCTTACTTTTAGGCCATCTCCCGCCCTTATCTCTACTCTAGCGCCGACTTTACTCTATTCTAGAGTAGAGTTGAACATTTATCTCCAGCCTTTATCTCTACATTTTACTCTACATTAAATATATTATTCTTTTATTCATTTTGTATTTCAAATAAATTGATATATATGTATATTTAATCTTATATAAAATGTGTGTTGTAACCTTTAATTTTAATGAAATAAACTTGTTTGAGTGTGTTAAATTTTTATTCATATGGTATCATTTTAATATTAAAAAATTATAAAATAAATTATAATACATTAATAAATAAAAAGTACAAAATTATTTAGCGTAAAAAATACATTGTACAAATTATTTAGCATAATAAATACATTTACTAATATACATTATACAAAAAATACCAATAATAATACATAAAAAAATAAACAAAAAGCAAAAAAAAAAAAAAAATGTAAAGATGAGCTACAGTGCATCGCCAGATCTGGCGATGCACTGTTCACATCCGTGGAATAGCGCAACATCTAGCGCAAGGGCTGGAGCGGAAAAATCAACACAACTCCAGCGCATAGCGCAGGGTTGGAGTTGATCTTACAGATGTATGTTTTTCATTGAGAAATTTCATAACTAAAAAATCTTTATAAATATAAGTATAGTAATTAGTACGATAATTAATAATACTGGAAAATGCTACGGTACCGTTACGGAATCATTTCGTCGAGGTTTGTAACGGTTAGATGATCATGTACCAGTCGGGTATAATTGATATAACGGTTACAAAATCCCGACGAAATGGTTCCGTAACGGGACCGTAGCATCTCCCAATAATATAAACATGAATTTTTATTAATAAAGTACGGGGGACAGATCCTCTTATTAGACTGTCTCACACAAGAATTAGTTATATTAATAGAATACAACAACAACAACAAAGCCTTTTAGTCCCAAACAAGTTGGGGTAGGCTAGAGATGAAACCCAATAGAAACAGTAGTGTAAAAAAAGAAAAAGAAAAAAAAAGATTGGAGCAAAAGAGAAAGGAGCAAAAGTCACGGTTCCGGCACGTTGATCGCTAGTCTCCAAACGCTCCTATCCACCGCTAAATCCTTAGAGATAGTTCAATCTTTAAGGTCTCTCTAAACCGACTCTTCCCAAGTTATATTAATAGAATAAGGGGCGAAAATGGCATGATAGATATGAAATATTAATCTAATTAAATTTATTTTTATTGTCATATTCATAACAAAAAAGAATATATATATATATATTATATATATATACATATATATATATATATATAAAAGTTACTCACTTAAAGCTAAAAACTTTTGCAACAGTAAACCCTCCTTTATAGTCCCATCCCAATAATAACTTTAAACAAAAGTTGCAGTTTTTAATTTATTTGGTGGGTTTCAATTTCATGTATATTTCACCAAAGTCAACCATGTTTTTTCATAATTACAGCAAAAAGAAAATAAAAAAAAAAATTGCATTTTTTGCACCTTTTCCATCATCTGATTTCTAAAAAGATTTTTAAATCCATGAATTATCTTTTTATTTTTTTATTTTTTATTTTTGGGGGACTTTATTATAGAAAAGATAATATGTGACTTTATTGAGAGGACACTTGCATAGTCTCTAT